GTCTATTTGGCAGAGTTGTTGAATACAAAAATGCCAGTAGAGGAGGTTTGATTCAAAAACAAGAGCAGACAGGGCTCAGAATAATGTAAGCATGAGATTAAACGGTCTCACTTTTATCATTTTACTGATTATGATAAGTCTACAATAAGGATGAAAATTAGAGGTCATTGAGATCAAACGAATAAGCAATACATCTATTGTCAGGAATGCCTGTAAGAAGTCGGAAGTCCTCTGCTACAGTAGTTTTTAGTATTAAGACCGTGGACTTGATACATTCTCAGACGTTTCGCCAATATCATAGTCAGCATCGATAGTGAGTCTTGCCATTCACAGCACCAGGTTACAACTCGCCAGAGACAAGTTAAGTCAGTCCCTGGAACAGCCCTCTTTCGAGCGTTAATGTGATCAATCCTCTTTCTTTCCTGGCCACCGTATCTATTCGCTAGCTTCCTATCACACTCTCGTTCTCTCACAACTTCTGACTTGATTACATTCCACTATTCAAAAGGTTTGCATTTTTGACAGATGTAATGTGGCGTCATCACTCCTGTTGGTTACCTTGTCTATCTCCCCCTCGATCGATTAATCCAGACCGGACCTCATAAGCGGATCTTCATGGTCCCTTATATCCGTTTTTATCTTTATATTTGACTGATTTCGCTCGATTCCAGTCCTAGTGTACGTTTTACCCCAGGTGCAATTTCTCAAGCCTGCAGATATTAGGTATTTCCTTCACTGGAAAAACTAACTCAGATGTTTATCAGGAACGGAGATTCAGAAGAAGGAATACAACGCAATACAGTGATGAAGGTGAACAGATAGAAAGACAGGGCCTATGAAAGGAAAGCAATAGGAGCAGAAGGAAAATTATGGATATGTCTATCATCCTGCGAATTGATTCGGACAATACTGTGGAAATGGAACATTTGTACAATCCTGAAGGAATTAATAAGCCTCTTCACTAGCTTGACTACAAAACATGAAAAGGTTAACAAAATGGAGTGCTCCAGAGTTTGCAGCATAAACTGCAAGGACTGTGTACAAAACTAGATCGGAGAGATGGGATGGACAATCATCAAAAAGATCAAAGAACACCAGCGACCATGCAGAAAAATGGATACGGAAAGATCAGAGATAGCTGAACACACAGCCACACATTTGGCCGTAATGCAACGGAAAGACTGACCCCATATGGGGAAAACACCAGGAAAAGGAATATCAAGGAGACTATGGACATCCCCTTGAAAGAAACCTGATAAACGGGAGATTAGAAGAGGGAAGTCAACGATAATTTCGTGTACTGCCTGAACAGACTTGGAGATTCAACGAATCCACCAAAAATAGGATGCTTAGACCCAGGACAACTGTTCAACAACAGGAAGAGACATCACCAAGGAGCGGCTCATGAGGAACAAAGAGAAGTCAAGAAAAGGCGACCGCAAAGAGAGAAGTCAGGCGTGGAATTGGGCAAAATTTACCCAATGGGTTCACCAGTATGATGTAGGATATGAAATTAAAGGCTGAGGGTATAGGTGGGCTAGATAGAGGTCACTAGTGTGCGCGTGTGTAGTGTGTAATTTTCGTATGTGCGTCGGAAGGGGAGGTGAGTGATGACAGGCTTGACCACGGAGGATACCAACCAACGCACACACAGGAGCATCATCGCAGTACCCTAGGATTATATGCAACTGTCAACTTGCAAAACGAGACGAGTGCTTTACGTGATTCTAAAGGAAAAAAGTGAAGAGATGCATTTTCACACCAGCTGTTATGACTTGATCCTGAAACAGGGCCCCAAAGAATGATACACAATGTAGGTGGGGATGAGAGAGAGGATAATTGAGTCACGGGTTTGAAGCATAGGGAGAGGAAGACTCCCAGGCATTGACATGTGCATGGGCATGGATACGTGGATCATCTGCTCTAACTCATCGAATATGACGTAATCGAGGACGGGGATGGAAAGTTCTTAAGCAGCCAGTTTTCAGACAGCAAAGAAGTGATTTTGATATTTAGCAGCGGCCAATTGGCAAGCGGGTAGGAAAAATGGGAGAAAGAGATGCGGCACTAGAAAGTAGAACAAAAAATAGGGGCGGGGAGTGATATAACAACGGTTGAACAGAAAATTGGTCAAAGGGATTGCCTTTATTTTTCACTTTGATATGTCGTAACTCTGTGCTCACGATAACGTCTCTCATTGACAATGCCGGCAAATGTTTGGTTATGCACCCAGCCAATGGTCCAATATAGGAAATTACGAATACTATAACAGAGGACACACGACTAGGTACGTTCCACAAGGTCTCCCTGACGCTCCGACTAAGTTGCGAAAACAAGGTCGAACCAACACAATAAAGCTAAAGGAGACTGCGACCGAAGAGAAGTTTACACCATCTTGGTCTTTATATCTGCGATCGGATTCCCAAGCTTGCAGATTTTAGGCATTTCCTTCACTGGTCGCCTCCTTAGGAGCATGAAATCAGATAAGGCAAAGATTTCCTTAATAGTAAAGTAAGACAAAAAAGACATTATAAAAGTTAATTTTAAGGACATTGGGAATCACCTGCAGACCAGACACCGTAAAATAAGGAATCTCAAACTTGACCGTAATTGGTGGCTTCGATTCAACATATGCAGTACTTTCGACTGAAGGCAGGCCAAAGCTGGCACGCATAACAAACTCCTTTCCGCCTGGAAAGCTTTTGATCGACCATATAACAACACTTGTTTCAGGCACGTATTTACAGCTGCCAACCGTTGTCTTAAAACGAGGAGAGTCAACATCCGACGGCACAGGAACATTAATTTCAACCATGTTGGCTGTGCTGCGTCGCTTGAATTGCGCTTTAGCCTGATTACGAAAAGGCAAAATAATAAAAAACAGTGCTTATGTAAAGTAAACATTCGGTGAAAAACAATCAACATCGAAGGTCAAAAATAAAGGAAGATTAAACGATTCTCATTCACTAGTTAGTCACTTGAAATCGTGATAATGTGGAAATAAAATCATAAGCGTTTTAAAAAAGAATCGCCTTAAACAAACTTTCTACAACATATCCACAGGCTGGAGGCAACATGGAGTGTAAATATAAAACAAGTAACTTGCCTTTATCATGAATTCCACTCGACTGTGTACATGTTTTTCGATGACAGCCTCCACCCATATTAAGGGCTTTACCTAAAAAAGAAAAAAAAACAAGCCAAAATAAGGCTATAGACCGAAGCAAAAGCATCTTGTAAATAGGCCAATTAAGGGAAGATATGAATCAAGTCGACTTAAAAACGACAAACAAGATCAGACTTGAAATCTGCCCGTTATAAATATGTTGCAAAAGACAAAATCTAGGAGTCCACTGCAAAATAAGAGGACAAATCAGAGCATAGAAACAACAGTATGGCTGCTAAATAAAAAAAACAACACAATAAAGGTGATGACTAAGAAATGAATGTGTTGACAGTAAAGCAAAAATCGATGATACATTGGAGTGAAGGTATGCATAGCAAGTTAAATTTTGACACGGTGCTGGGGAAGAAATTGGCAAAAACCAATTCGATTCAATGACAATGAAATTAGTAATTCAAAATTTCGATGTGCAAAAGAGATTATTCAATTTAATGATAGAGGATTAATGGTAAAGTTATTATTACGCAAATCGTACTTTGGCATGGCAAAAACTTTAATTATCCATCAGAAAAAAGTTTGCTTAAAACCAATTAGACAAAAATATAAACGTTTATTGATCATGAAGGCCATGTACTACTTAAGATTTGAGTATGAGCATTAGGAGATAGATGGGATAGTAGCATAGCCGAATCCCCTAATTTTGGGGCAAAATTTCTCTTCAAGGATATGAATTCGCCCTTGCTTGAACTGTGAAATAAACTAAAAGAATCCGTTTTGTCATTAAAAATGCCAATTATTAATAACCCCAAAACAAACATTGAGTAAGCTAATGAAGATACCAAACAGAGCTTCTACCAAGATAAACCACTGATTAAGCGAAATTATGTAAAATAATGATTAGATGGCGGCCTTTTAAATAGTCCTATTCCAGGAATGATTAGAGACTAGACTAATACCAAAAATTACATGTAATGGGACATCATTGGAGTTGTTAATTTGGTCTGACATGCGGTACTTGGGGGTTTATAGAACAATTAAAGACCAATATAATGTATTTATCTGACAAA